GTAGGGTAGGGGGTTGGTATAGGTAGGGGTGGAGGGTAAGGTCGTGGTAAGGGTAGGGGTGGGGAAGGGGCGGGGGTCAAGGGTGTGGAATTGGGGGTAGGGTGAAGGGTGGGGGTACAGGGCGGGGTAGTGGTTAGGGGTGTGGGTAAGCGACTAATCGTACGAGGTGACCCCACATATTATATTATATACTTGTGTTCATGAATGTTTGTGTGTGTATATATTTATATATAGGGTTATTTTGGACATTTTAATATTAAACAGTGTTTTAAATCCTTTAATTTGAAGTAAACATGAGCTTACAACGTTGCTTATTTCATGCACCGCTTATTAACGCGAGTCTTAATAAGCATCGTTTACTAACACATGAAGTAAACATGTCCTTACTCTAAAAAAAACTAAAACACTTTGACCCAGGTCTAACAATGAAAGGATGTCCATTGTGGTGGTTGATCTTCTCACAACTCAACTAGTGAATTGCACTATATCGTGAGTGTACATGCCACTGCTAAAAAACCTCGATATAGGCACAGATTTTGGCTCGAATAACTCCTTAAAATTCCCAGACTAGCTATCTTGGCTCGGTTTTGGCTCGGAAAGAATTTTCGTGCCACCTGGGTCGATCCAAACGTGTTGACACGGATTATAGGATCCAAATCCCTCAAAATTTGGCACGATATATTTTGTCTTGGAATTTGCCTCGGATAATAGGAACCCAATCGACTCAGTTTTATATCGGTTTGTGGATCAGATAAATCCGTGCCAAATACACCAGGTATAAAAAAAGCGTATACCGTACTTTTGTACGGTACACGTTTTTTTATACATTTTATATACGTTTTAATTTTTTTCTTTTGACAAAAATGTATTCTTTTTGACCATACATAACAATTCAAAATTCACATATACAACATCACATACATGCACAATAATCACAATACACAACCACAAGCATAACATAAACAAAACTAACATTAATAAGCAGTTGAAAGATAAAACGGTAAGCAGTCCAAGAAAATAGCTACAAAAGCCATTAGAAGCAGTTACAATAACAGCAATTCAAGATAAAACGGTAAGCAGTTCAAGTTTGGGAGTTCAATTAACAATATTAAAAATATCATCATGGGCACTTCATAAGAGTCGTTAAGAAGGTTGTTGATTCCGTGAGGGGTCGGTGTTCGGAAACCAGAGAACTCGGGCAGCGGCGCACTCGGGTTGACACTCCGCACCTGCTCCAAATACGACATGAACGTATTCGTCATGTTGGCCATCTGGGTTTGCCAAATCTGTTGCTGCTAGGCAAATCGGGCGTCAAACTGCTCCTGAATGCGGGCATCGATCTCTTCTTGGCTCGGTCCCGTGATTCGGCTAGTGCAATCCATGCTGCCCGACAGCACCTCTGCCTCAGAACCCGTCCCAAACTGTCGCCTCTTGTACTCCGGCACGACCTTGTAAAACAACTCCGTATCATCAATGTTAAAGGACTTCCCCTCAGATTCTGCTTGGGCCTTCAGATCATTGTACTTTTTCTGCAAAATATAACAAAGAATTATATTTAGCAGGTAAATTAAAAAACTATTGCAAATATTACAACTCATGTATATATAAATAACGTGTTCCGAGGCAAAGGTGCGTTCTTCTACCATAACCTTTCCCAGGATAGTTGAAGATTGAAATCATTTGGTCATACAATCCCGGACCAATATCGTCATTTCTGGCAGGTCTTTTTCGCTTAGTCATGACTTCTCTTTCAAAATAGTAGGAGGAAAATGTAGAAACCTCTTCTGTGATGTACGCTTGGCAGATAGAAGCTCCCACATGTGCTTTATTTGTCACCTTTTTTTCAACTCCTTTAAAAAACTAATAAAAGCATACTTAACAATTAAAAGCATAATTTATTTTTCAAACGTAATAATAAAAACATATTTGTTAATTAGTTATAAATTAGTAACAAATTTACCTCTCAAATCCGTACATCCATCGACAAAATGCAGGATCTCCCTTCATAGCTTCAAATGGAAGATGAATTAGTAAATGTTCCATTACATCAAAAAAGGATGGAGGAAAAACCTTTTCTAGATTACACATAATAGTGGGAGCTTTACGGTGAAGTTCCTCCAAAGCAGTTCGGCTTAATACAGGAGAGCATATTAACTGAAATAATTGACAAACATCACTAATGCACGCCCATACATTATCCGGAACATTTTCCCTCATAGCAACGACAAGTGATCGTTGCATGAGAACATGACAATCATGGCTCTTCATACTCTTCATTGACAACTTCTCTAAGTCAACACATCTATGGAAGTTGGATGTGTACCCATCAGGAAACCGTAGTTGAATAAGCCACTCCAATATTTTTTGTTTCTGTTCATCAGTCACCTGGTAAACTGATTTTTTGAAGGGACCTTCGTAATCTGGGCTCATAGCAATTTCTGGTCTATCACAATACAATGCCACATCTTTGCTTGATGATAGGCCGTCCTTGGTTTTTCCCTTAAAGTTCATCACTGTGTTAAAAATGTTATCAAAAACATTTTTTTCAATGCATGACATCCAAGTTATGCCTAATAAGAAGATCTTTCCAATACGGCAAACTCCAAAATATACTTTTTTTCGTCCATTTATGATGAATCAGATATCCCTCCGGATACTGAAGAGGATCATCTATGGCAATAGGGATGGAGCGCACACGATCATAAATTTGATATCCTGTAAACCTCATAGGTGGTGGATCAAGCTCAGTGCGCCTCTTTAGAAATGACTTTTTATCCTTTCGATATGGATGATTTTGAGGAAGAAATCTTCGATGGCAATCAAATTAAGTAACATGGCTTGCGGCTATTCTTGAGCCAAAATGCATTTGACTTCTCCATACAAACAGGACACCCCATCAGACCGGCGGTGCTCCAGCCAGAAAGCATTCCATATGATGGAAAATCACTAATTTTCCACATAACTGCAGCTTTCAAATTAAATATTTGATTCCTGGAAACATCATATGTGGGAACACCTACATCCCATAATTGTCTAAGCTCTTCCACCAATGGCTGCAGGTATACATCAATTCTCTTTTTTGGATTACCCGGTCCTGGACACATTAATGACAAAAACATAAAATGTTGTTTCATACACATGTCAGGTGGAGATTATACGGTGTAATGATAATTGGCCAACATGAGAATTGTCCCCCGAATTGACCATACGGGGCAAAGCGATCAGCACATAACCCAAGTCGAACACTACGTGGCTCAAAAGAAAATTGTGGATAACATCGGTCGAAATGCTTCCACGCCTCAGAATCTGATGGGTGACACATCAACCTATCTTCAGTCTCAAGTTCCACATGCCACGTCATGTGTTTAGCCGTGGCATTTGAAGCATACAACCTTTGCAACCGTGGGGCTAAAGGAAGATATATCAACTTAGATGACACAGAACTTTTGCGTGGTTTTCGAGTCATGGTTGACATAGGTTTGTACCTATCCGCATTACAAAACTTACAATGGGTCAATGCCTCATCGTTCTTCCAAAATAACATGCATGCCATTGGGCAAGCGTGAATTTTAATCATGGGAAGATCTAACTCTAAGACGATTTTTTTCATGTTGTAGTAAGTATCAGGTACACAATGATCACACGGTAACATGCTGCCAACAGAGTCTCGTATCCTTGACATGCAATTCTCAGAGAGATTATATTCAGCCTTTATATTCAAAAATTCAGAAACCGCTGATAACTTCGAATGACCATCGCAATCATAATACAGAGGTTGATCCGCGCTTTTGAGGACTTCTTGAAATCTAGTGCCTAGCGCATCTACCTCATAATAAGATGAACTTGGTTGCTCATTCACATTACTGTGTGAAGTGAAATCATTATCTGGTTGGGTATTGTGAAATGCTGAAGGGTCGACGAAATCATAAAGCATTTTTTTCTCCCATGGCATTTCTTCATAATTTCCACAACCAGACATCTCGTTAGGAACATAGTTAGATGTGCCTAAGGTCTGTGGCAAAAGACATGTATCAATCGGTTCTCCTTGAGAAGTCCAATTGTAATAGTTATCAATAAAACCATGTGTATATAAATCCCACTCCATGGTATCAGGATCAAGAAACTTGGCATTTTTACACTTTGTACACAGACATCTTATTCTATTTCCATCCGTGTATCGTGTTTGCCTTTGTACAAAACTAATAAATTCAGCAACTCCATCAGTAAACTCTTTAGTCAATCCTCTACCATTTTCTTTATATCGCCTATACATCCAACTTCTACTTTCTCTATTCATTGGTCTTGAATATGTAAAATAAATTAATAAATATTTATTTATTCTTATTAAAAGTACATGCTAGTAAGTAAATTTTTAAAACTTATCACAAAAATTTTATTGGTATAAGACAAATAATGACAATAATTATAATTCAAGACATGAAATATGTATTGATCTATTGAAATTGATTAATAAAACGAATAAAATTACATACCTTATAACCGGAACACAATTCTTATAAGAAATTCAAATATAAATATTCCACGTAGCTAACACATAATGAAACCACACTCCTTTGTTTCCAAAACTCAGCACTAAGAATAGCTCATGTATAGATGTATACATAAAAGAAGATGTATTTTTTGCTTAGGAATGTGCAAGGATTTATAGTGTTATTTGGCTCGGATTTTGGCACGGAAAATATAATTGGATACAAAATGGTCCTATTTTGGCACAGAAAAATCCGTCGATCGAACCGTTTGAAAATCATCCCCGGAATACACAACGGCCACCTTTTGGCTTGGACTTTGACACGGATTTATCGTAACGGTCATCTTTTGGCACGAACAACCCGTTTGAGCCAAAAGCCTAAAAACAAAATTGTATTAAAAACTTTTGCACGGATGTTGGCTCAATACTTTTGTCTCGGATATTGGCACTGATCTTCATCCAGTGGCGGAACCAGAACGAAAACAAAGGGGTAGCTAAAAGTATTACCAAATTCAAAAATATAAATTGCTATTAAAGTTTACATAATATAAAATTTGTGAGAATAGTACATTACATTACAATTAAATGTTAGAAGAAGAAGCCAATTTAGACAATTGCGTACGGCGTGTTTGCATACATTGAAAACGTTGCAAAATTGCTTCATTTTCAATCTTGGAAAAATTTTCCTTCTCCATGTAGATCACCAAACTATCATTCATCCATTCATCTCCCATTCTACTCCGTAAATCTGTCTTGATGATTTTCATGCCAGAACAGACTCTTTCAACTGAAGCTGTTGCAACCGGTAAAACTAACGCCAACTCAATAAGACGATATACCAAAGAAAACACAAGGTTCATGCCACTTTCAACCATTTGTTTGGCAAGACTTCCCAGATCTTCATTTGCATGAAATTGACTTTGACTCTTTACGGCATGAATGTATGTCTGAAGTTGTTGCTTAAGCATAAAACGATCGGTAGAAGAAAAGTCTTCCGCATACATTTCAGCCATATGAATCAGTTTATCAATGTCAAATTGATAGAAAGAATTTCTTGGATCAAGACATGCAATACAAGTAAGTAACTCAGTACTTGCTTCTGAAAAACGATTATTCATCTCCACAATCATCTTGTCAACAACCTAATACATAGTACAAAATAATATAATCAAAATAATGGAATACAATACTAATATTAAAAAATAATCAAAAGACATAGTCATATACCTCACAAAAGATTCCGCCGCGAAAGTGAATCAAATTTGTGGTCGTGTTTCCGCTTCGTCTACTACGCCCACGAATTAGTACTTCTTCTTCCATGTTTAAGATCGGGATGTTGACTTTTTCACAAAATGTATTTGTTTCTTCTAAAAGAGTCTCCCACCCATTATCTCGGAATTCTTGCAATCTAACTTTCATTGTCCCAATCAAGTTGATTGCCAAAACTATATTTTGATCTTTTTGTTGCAACGCAAGAGACAACTCATTAGTAATTCCAAACAAATACATCATTAAATGCATAACGAAGACAAATTCACAATTCTCCATCTTGTTGATTAAACTTGAAGCCATACCCCGCTCCTCGGTAGCTCCATCATCATGCACATTTTCAAGTGCTTTTAAAACCGAAGTCCACATAGACATCAAACGCACAATAGTTATGTAGTGTGAACCCCAACGAGTATCCCCCGATCTTCTCAAACTTACTTCTTGATTTTTCCCTTTCCCACTTACTATCTCTCCCTTCTCCAAACTCTCAACTAGTCTGTCATGCTCTATTTGTCTAAGTCTATCTTTTCTTTTACAAGAAGCACCGGTGACATTCACAAGCATAATAACATATTGGAAAAAGTCACACACAATTCGATTAAACTTAGCAACAGCAACAACAACTAGTTGAAGTTGGTGAGAAAAGCAATGCACATACCTTGCTGAAGGATTTTCCTTCAATATGAGAGCATTTAATCCATTGTACTCACCTCTCATATTTGAAGCGCCATCATATCCTTGACCTCTGAGTTTTGATAAAGACAATTTATGCTTTGAAAACAACTCATCAACAGCACTTTTCAAAGAAATAGCAGAAGTATCAGTAACATGCACAATGCTAAGGAAACGTTCAATCACATATCCACGTTTATCCACATATCTCAAAACAACTCCCATTTGCTCCTTAACTGAAACATCTCTACATTCATCAACCATAAGAGTAAATACATTATCTCTAATATCTTCAAGAATAACTCGTGTGACTTCAAATGCACAAGCATTAGTTAATTCTTTTTGATTTTTTGGAGATGTCATTTGATTATTTCTGGGAGCATTCTCATTCAATGTCTTAGCAACCTCTTCATTTCTTTGACTATACCATTCTAGTAATTCAAGGAAATTACCTTTATTTAAAGAACTAGATGACTCATTGGTGTGTAGCATATAATGGGCACACAACTATTTTTTTACCCAAGGAAGTAGGGTGTCGAACCACAGAGAAGCGGGAAATAAAATAATTAAGCACAAACTAAGGATTAAAGTTGGGAATGCGTTTCTTTTGAATTTTGTTTGCTTGGAAAAGTAATTAAATAAAAGTGATTGAGAGAAGAGATTTTTATCAACACAAAGTTCAACCAATAGCAAGTAGGGGTAGAAATTGGCAACTAATTGTTCAATGCTCATTTGTAAGACATAATTGCTAATTTTATTCTTAGATAGATTGTGAGAAGTTGTAGATAAATATTTTAGGACCCAACACAAGTCACCTAAAATAAGTAACTAGTCAACATTTCTCAGTGATGGCCAAAATGAGACTAGTTGTTTAAGTGCAACGGCAACCTTAATTATTAACTATATTAATTACCCAACCCCGTGGTGTAAATAATATAATTAAATAATTAAATTCTCCCGTAAAACTTCAATCCGGGACAAGGTAAAAGAAGTTTAACGGTGTGTTCAGAAAGTGTTCATTTGTGTATTTAACAAACAATATGTTTATGATTGAGTACTCATAATATATATCACAAACACGACATAATTAATTTTCTGGACACAACAATCTAAATAGAACAAACTTAACAATTAAAATCAATACAAATTAAAACATGATAAGAACAATTAATTAACCAATTTCTAGCCCCAAATTTATTTAGCTATACATGTTGGGAAACATAGAAATAGATGAATCCATGATTAAAATACAAGATTTAATGAGATAAGGAAGATCAAACTTGTGATAGATGACAATCCTTGGAGCTTTGATGCTAATCTTGACTTAATCTTGGATGAGAAAGTGATTAGTTATGGTTGAAGATGGGTTGATGATTTGGGGTTGAGAAATGAAGAGAGAAGGAGGAGGAAATGTTTTTGGGATGTTTAGAGAGAGGTTGGTCCGAGCTTATGTGTGGAGGAAGATGGATTAAGGCAATATAATGATAAGGTGATTAATCATTAATTGCTGGGATTTACGGAACAGATGAGTTTATGTACAACAAAGCGCAGTAAAGTTTCAACAGTGGCAGGTAGCTCAACGGATAAGCACTTCAGGGGAAAACTCGGAGATCGTGGGATCCATTCTCGGCTTCAACATTTTGTTCTTTTCTTTGCCGCGTTCAGAAGGAATATAACAATTGCCAGCTGAATATGTACAACATTGATCACTTAGCACATTGGTTGTAATAGGCATTCTTCTACCCTTTCTCCAGGGATCGAATCCCAACTCCATAATTTTTATTTTTTGCTTCTTTTCTTCAATTTACTCCTTATTTGTTTTGAAGAAAATTCCACTTTTATTGACTTCCAACTTGAACTTTTATTTTCTTCTTTCGTTCACTCTAATGTATCCAAATAGCATCAAAAGTACCTGAAAATACAAAATACCCGTGTAGGGACTGCACAAGTACAAACTAACGACAAATTATAAAAATATGTACAAAAGTAGAATTTTAATAACTAAAATTAATAACAAACTAAGCCTAAAAAGTGTGTAAAATATAAGTACATCACTCATCATGACCACGAAACGCTAGACCTTGCTTCAACAGAAATCGTATCACATCCAAAATTGCGGTTAAACGAATGCGATACGCAGCTTCTATTTCCCGCCCATGTGCACTTATCAAATGTGAGACACTTTGTCTTTGATTTTGAAAAGTTTCAAGTTTCACTCTAGCATTATTGTGAGCACTACCCACCACACCAACATGAGTATTGAATATATCTAGTGCTTTTTTCCATATATTTACCCCTTTGTCGGTAAATGCAATTTCTCCAACTCGGTTTCCTTTATTTGAATCTTTGAAAAGATAACACCACAAGCAATAAGCAACATCTTTTGAAATGCTATACTCCAACCATGGATATTTCTCAAACCAAGCAGGTTGAAAACTTCTCTTTTCTTTACCATACACTCTCTTAGGATATACATGACCAATCGGTCTACACGGACCTCTTGTTAAATATTCTCTCATAATAAAAGAATTAGACTTGAATATTGGCTTACGTAATCCAGGATCAGACACAATATCATTTGGATCAAATTCGACACGAGGATGTTTTTCTCTACTACTTTCTTCATTATCTCGTCTAGAAGGTCCACCGCCTCGTGTTACAAATTGTAAAATAGACATGATCGCATGAGTAACCTAACAAGTTAAAAAAGATTTCAATTTCAAATTCTTAAATACTTATAATCAATTAAAATTTAAAACAATTAAAGCACTTTCAATTTAAATTTTATACGGTCTACGGTTTTACCAATTCAAGCTTATAATCAATTATTACTATAAAAAGCAATTGTATTGAGGAATCAATAAACTTGCAGATTAAAATCAAACCTTAAAGCTATTAATCAGTCCAATTTCAAATTAAATAATTAGTTAAACTCTTAAAGCAAATAACCAATAAAATTAATTAAAACAGTTATCAATTTTAAAATTACTTACCAAATCAACTCTCTTACTCAGTTGGCCGCGACCGAGGATTGGACTGGAGGACAGAGGAGGGAAGAACTCTCGACCTGCGATTGGCGAAGAGATCTCGAAGCCTGGCTAGGACCGTCTGCCATCTGCGATTCTGCGGAAGTCGACCTGCGATTGGCGAAGAGATCTTGAAGGCAATCGGCAGACAAAGCTCGGTCTCAGACTGGAACGGCCCAACTCCAAGAGGAACGCGTATGGATGGAAACAAAAAACTCAAACAGTAGTCAAAACGACGTCGTTTCTTCCGTTTCTGTGCACTTAACCAAACGACGTCGTTTGGCTAAATGATTTAATTAAAAAAAAACAATCTCACAGCTCACCTGGTTCGCAGCTCGCTGGATCTCAGAATAGCAGGGGCGTAGGTCTGGCTGAAGAAGAAGACGGGGCGCTAGCCGGAATACCTAATACTACTACCTCAAAAACTCCGGCGAAGGGGTGGCGCCAGCTCCTGCTCACCCCCCTCTGGTTCCGCCCCTGTCTTCATCAATGCAACATGTTCATGTTGGCATGGAAAAGGCCATCCCAGTTGGCACAGAATTAGGTTGGGATGGTTTTGGCTTGGATATATTTGAGTCAAACAGTGAAAGTACAAAACGGTGTTGGATCAGATTCGTATCCGTGCCACATTGGAACGGAATTTGGATTAAATTTCCGAGAAGGCAAAATTTTTGTTTTTTTCGGTTTTGGATCGTGTTTTGACTCGACTTTTCCGAGGCAAACTGTTGGCACGGATAAATCCGTGCCAAAATGTATACGGTTTATATATATTAGTTAACCGAGCAAAATGTCGAGCCAAATTTGGCATGACATTTATCCGAGCCAAAATTCCTGTCGATAACGAGGTTTTTTAGTAGTGTGCGTTGTACACAAAGTATACACAAAAACTTCCTAATTATTTGTGCACACAGGCAATTTGTTTGAAAAGAAAGACATGATTTGATGTCAAAACTCCCTAGTTGTCTGTGTACACTGACAATGTAAAATTTGTGGACATATTTTGTGTACACCAAGAATGATCCTTCATTTTTAAACTAGATCAGACCAAATTCAAATACATCAGATCAAATTAGATTTGATCAAGTTTTGTCTGTTGTAAAATACACAAAAAATTTAAACATCTATCATATCGGACCAAAATTAAACAGACTAGACCAGAAAAATTGAAGTTCAATTAAAAACATTCTCAATCTTAACATGCGGAATTGATACACCATGTTGCAATTAATGAATTATTATAAGAAACCCTAATTTAAGTTGCTCTAAGCAAGGAATTAGAACTTCAACTATTCGGAATTTGGTTTCTAAAAAAAAGCATACTATCAAACCATAATAGCATCGAACTAATTAACATGTTCTGAAACAATGATTGTTTTCTTAGAAATTGCGTTAAATAGGAGCAAAAACGTTTTGAAATTCCAAAATAGGAGTAACATGTTTTTTATTCCCTGATTATTTTCTTATTTTCTTAGACGGAACCAATCACAAACGGAACGAAAACCTTTTATAACTTTAATACGATAGTATATACTCATACCCTCTTTTCAAAATTTGTCTATCTTTAAAAAAAATGTCAACCAAGTTTAACTTTGACCAATTATATATTTTTATAGGAAGTTGTTTATTATATAAATATTATATGAATTTTTTTGCTAAATATATTTTTTATAAAAGTATAAAGTTTATAACTCTCCGAATATTATACTAATCAAAATCATAGTATAAACTTTACCACCATTGACTTGAAAAGTCAAAGATGGTAAAATTTAAAGGGACGGAGGTAGTACTAGTTATCCCGGATCATACCATTTAGTTATATATATTTCTATAATTTTTTATTATTAATAAGACAATGAAGGATTCTAGTAAGGATCCCTTCTAAAATGAGAACTCATTACAAAGAAAGCTTTTAATCTCGATCTTTCATTTACTTCAATCATTGGTTGATACTCACATTGGATCATACTCATAATTACCTCTTAAGTTCTGTTAAGACATGTGGTTCAATCCTAAAAGGTCAACCTGATAGGAGAAGTAGCTCATGTCTTAATATAGCACTTTGTTGATTCAAACTTTTCCGGTGTGGGATTCTAACACCCCTCCTCATGACCAGACACTTTGTATGGATCGTGCTGTCAGTCATTTTTTTTCGCCGGTTTGTCATTGTCATTTTTTTAATCGTGTTGTCATTTTTCATAAGGGGGCGCACACCATGGTTATGGATCGGTTTGTCTCTAATACCATGTTAAGATCAGGGGTTCCATTTTAAAAGGTCAAACTGATAGGAGGAGTAACACATGTCTTAATATAGCACTTTGTTGATTCAAACTTTTCCATTGTGGGATTCTAACAAGTTCAAATAGGGCTTTTAATAATTAATCCTAAATAATAATTACAAAATGTCACTGTCATTATTAGTCATTGATAGTAAAAATGAATGATGAAAAATAGATGTTATCATTTTTAATAGAGTTATCATTATAAAAGGGATTCTCATAAGAACCTTTTTAATATTTAATCTTTCTATATAAATTTTCGTCTAGGTAGGATATACAAGAACCTTTTTCTTTTTTTTCTTTTAATTTTTCTATTAATTATAAATTTCACTAGGGAGTTACTAGATATACAAAATTAACTAGACTTACTAGATGTGGGTTTGGTTTTGGTGAGAACACCTCTTACCTTAACAAATGGGTACTCTCCAAAACGATGCACATTATAGTTCACGGAGGTGCACATTATTTATAGTTAAAATAATGCACAAATCAAATTTACATTTTCTATTTTATGGTAGTGCAAATTTCTATTCCATACAATGTACAATACTCAAATTCAACGCTCCAAAATCACTCTCATTTCCTTCATTTGAACCAAATTCTACTGTAAGTATACTAACTACTATGAAGATAGATAATATACTAAGTATGATTTAGTTAATTTGTGTGTTAAGTTTTACAAGGTAGACTTGTAAGACTTTATTTACTTTGCGTTTTTGGGGGTGTTTGGAATTGATTCTACTTCTTTTTTAGAAGTAGAAGTAGAATAATAAAAAATTCAGAAGCCGATCATTACTAGTAGGAATTCAGCTTGGGATCTCGGAGGATTTATAGAATTCGGGTCATCTTAAGGATTTCAGAGGCCCGGTAAAATAGAAGGATTTTGGGAGAGGTTTTTGGATGAGATCTCAGGTGAGGGATTTCGGTAGCCCTTCTTGAATGATATCGGTAGACCAGATTTCGGATCTCCGAATTTCGGGTTAATGGTATTAATGAACAATCTCAGGATGGAGATTTCGGGTAATGTGATTTCGGCTGAGGAGCGGTTTCCGAGATTGAAATTTGGTTAAGAAATTCGAAGGCAGTAGAATGAAGAGCTCTTTGGCTATGGAGTTTCAGGTTCAGGGGAAGGTA